ATGAATTTGTAATAGCTCACCTAGATTGCAAATATGTTACTCCAATAGAGGACGTTATAAATTCTCCGCCTGCAGAAAATAAATACATAAACTAAAGGAGGAATTAATCAAAAGGCTATCAATTTCCGAACGGCAAAGGATAAGACAATTACTTTTGCAGAAGAATTTGGTGATCGAAGTCCTTCTCAGTTTCCTACGTCACCTTCGTTCATTGGTCGGAACAACTACAGTCGACAATTCACTCCTACGAGAAATCTGGATTCAACGACAACCGTCCAGACTCAACAAATATTGCAAACCCAGATCAATGGAGACCTAGAAACTTGCATCCCTCGCCGACAAAATATGTGAGATTGCACAACCGCCAGTAGTCGCAGCAACTAGTAACAACCAACAGCAAGACTCATACAAAAAACTAATTGATAAAAATGATCAACTAACACAGCGTGTGGAAGATCTTACAGAGCAAGCCAAGTTAACCTATCGTAGCAGACTCAACCTATCAACAATAGAAACCGTAGCCCTTTTCGACAAGACAGGTCTACCACTTCTTCAGGCCGAGAAGTACTTCTAGATCGCGCAACCGAAATACATTCTGTTGGTACCACGCCAAATTCGGAAAGAAGGCAAGAAAATGCGAGAGTCATTGTTCGTTCAGAGAGGAAAACTCCAACGGCAAGGAGTGATGGCGACCTATCCTTGCTCTTCATCAAGCCGTCGCCTCTTCATAAGTGATCGCAGAACTAAGGTACAGTTTTTGGTCGACACAGGTTCAGACGTTTGCGTGTATCCAAGGCGCTTAACTGCTAAACCTAATCCTCACTAAACTATACTTTGTCTGCAGCCAATGGAACCAACATACGCACGTACGGGGATATTATTTTACAATTAGATTTTGGACTAAGAAGAAATTTTACTTGGAGATTCATCGTAGCAGACGTAACAATGCCTATACTTGGAGCAGACTTTTTGGCGTACTACAATATCATTATCGATATAAAGAATTCTCGTCTACATGACAACCTGACATCACTGTCATCTCCAGGATGTGTCACATTCTCTCTCGGATACAAAGTGTCAAGTCTATATTTGGAGACATTGCATACAACAAATTATTAGCTGATTTTCCATCCATCACCAGACCATCAGGCTTGTGTCAAGAAAACAAACACAAAACATTTCATTATATCAGAACCACTCCAGGACCTCCAGTTTCTTCTAGACCACGGCGCCTCAAGCCAGAATTACTTCGCGTAGCCAAAGAAGAATTCAAGAATATGGTAGAATTAGGCATTGCAAGACCCTCCGATAGTTCTTGGTCTTCACCTTTACATCTCACACAGAAAAAGGATTCGACGTGGCGTCCATGCGGAGATTATCGGCTACTCAACTCACGCACAATTCCAGACAAATATCCCGTTCGTCATATTGCGGACTACGCATAATTTAGCAGGATGTACTATATTTTCAGTGATCGACTTAGTGAAAGCCTTTCAGCAAATTCCAGTCCATCCTGATGATATTGCAAAAACAGCAATATAACACCATTTGGGCTGTTTTGAGTTCCCGTATATGACTTTTGGACTAAGGAATGCAGCACAAACATTTCAGCGATTTATAGATGAGGTTACACAAGGTCTGGATTTTTGTTACGCATACCTAGATGATATTCTTATATCATCTACATCGCTAGAAGAACACCAAGATCACCTCCGCCAATTATTTCAACGCCTGAAAGACCACGGCGTTGTCATTATAATCCAGCGAAATGCGTATTAGGTGCACCCAAAGTTACATTTCTTGGTTATGAAATTTCTAAAGATGGAACTTTGCCACCACAAGACCGTATCAACGATCTCCAAGAATATCCGCTACCGGCAACCTACTCAAAGCTACGACGCTTCATAGGAATGATTAATTATTATCGAAGGTTTATTCCTCACATAGCTGAATTTCTTGCTCCGCCGCTACACAAGCTGCTCTCAGGATCTACCAAATCTGGATCACAACCAATTTCTTGGACTCCACAGCTTCAAGATAACTTCGAGACTTGTAAGAAAGAATTGGCTAAAGCAACATTACTAGCACACCCAGTTCCAAATGCTCAAACAGCATTATTTAGCGATGTATCTAACCATTCTATCGGTGCAGTATTACAGCAGTACATCAATGGCACTTGGCAACCTTGGGCTTCTTTTCAAAAAAACTATCTGAGAAACAACAACTTTGGCCAGCATATTATCGAGAACTTTTGGCTGGATACGAAGCAATGCAACATTTTCGAAGCTTACTGGAAGGGAGACATTTCATTTGGTTTACTGACCACAAACCTTTAATTCACGCCTTTTCCCAGCGAAAGGACAAGCTGCCGCCAATACAATTAAATCAATTAAGTTTCTGTCGCAGTTTACAACAGATGTTCGCTATGTTAGTGGACAACAAAACATTGTAGCCGACGCCTTCTCAAGAGCAGAAGCCATAACATCGCCTTTGGATCACTCCGTTATTGCTAAATCGCAAGACGAAGATGAAGAACTGGTAACGCTCTTAAAATCAGATACTGCTCTCAACCTGAAACGCATCGCTATTCCAGGAACCAAAGAACAATTATATTGCGACATATCTCAAAATCGATTACGTCCTTATGTTCCTGCTGAACATAGACGACATATTTTCAATACTCTGCACAATCTATCTCATCCAGGTATAAAACCACAACTAAACTCATTACGGATAGATTTGTTTGGCTGGCATTCGCAAGGATTGTAGAACCTGGGCTCGAAGCTGCATCTCATGTCAACGCTCCAAAATTGGTCGGCATATAGTCACACCACTTGGAGAGTTCAAAGTGCCACCCGCCAGATTTCTGCATGTTCACATTTGACATTGTCGGACCACTTCCTCAATCAAAAGGTTTTAAATACCTATTCACCGCTATAGACCGTTACACACGCTGGCTTGAAGTTTTTCCTCTATCAGATATTACCGCAGAAAGTGTAACCTGGGCTTTCCTATATTCTTGATTTCACGCTTTGGTGTTCCATCTCAAGTAACAAGCGACCAAGGACGGCAATTCTGTTCAGTTGTTTTTCAAGGAGTAAACCAAACTACTAGGAATTTCCCACATTCCTACTACAGCATATCACCCGCAATCAAATGGATTGATTGAAAATGCTCACAGGCCACTGAAAACACCCTCATGTGCCATGCAGACCCTCATGGATGGATTTTTCTCTACCAATTATTTTATTAGGAATTCGAGCTTCTGTTAAAGAAGACATTAAAAGCACAGCGCCGAATTAGTATATGGAGAGCCGCTTCGTCTACCTGGCGACTTTCTATCAGCACACGCAGGAGATACCAACAAGCGACTTCTTGAGGAATCTACATCGACATTTCGAAACAATACATCCACTCCTACATCTGCACATGGATCGAAAAAGACTTTTAATACTAAAGAACTAAGTAATAATGCAAAATTTGTATTCCTTAGGGAGACGCTCTGCGACCAGCGCTTTCTTGTCCATACAGAGGTCGTATGAAGTCATAGATCGAACTCTCCAAAACATTGAAAATTAAAATTGGAGAAGGCAATGTAAGAGTATCCATCGATCGTGTCAAGCCCATTTCACACACCACAGAAGACGACCAAAGTACGAGTTCGACTCCATCCACCAGCGCTACAGAACATACCTCCAATCAATATAGAACACGGTTTGGACGGGTAGTTTCGTCCTCGCATCCAATAAATTATAACAATTTTATTGACTCGCCAGGGGGTATTGCAGCGACACTAGCTCTCCTACTATTGAAAATAGTAGTAAGAGCTACACTAGCCTCCACACTATTAGGGACCCTATATGTGGAGGGGGTCAGCCTCCAGGTATATAACCAAAGCAGCTACCATCCTCGATCTCTTTTCTCTTCTACTGGTCGAGCAGGCAACACCTAGGAAAACGACGGAGTCCAAGCGAGGAATACCAAGAATACCAGAATTCAACCAAGAAGATTTTGTAATTATTATAATTTTGTAATAAACTTTATTTTTCATTTATAGTGTCTTGATTTTTATATGTGGGACCACCCCACAGGTTAATAGAAATTTTCGATTTTGTTGTTATTTATTGAAAATAACAAATACATACATAGATATCAATAAAAATAAGGTTTATTAACAACTTTAAATTCTTAATTCTTAATGTATGTACTGAATTCTTATGTATGTACATATATATTTTCTTAGATTGCATTAGATATATATAATGAACTGTAGCATTAATCAAGCAAAAATTCGAATTGTAAGTATGTACATACATATTGATTGGTCGTGGTTGGGAGTCCGGATAATAGCAAATCCAAATAACCGAGGACCTGATAAACGAGGTTCTACTATACCAGCATTTCTGAATTTGGCACATTTCGATCTGATTTTTCCCAAACTCGTTTTTAAAATTATTTTATTACTTGACATGAAATACTTTCTTTTTCTTACCGCAGTTAATCCTAATTATTATTGCAAATATGACTTGTATTAAATCCATCTGTCGGCATTGACAATACGAAATGGTACTAATGCGATATAATTCGGTATTTTATCAAAAGACGTCCGACAAAACGCGCCGCTCTGGAGTAGGTAATCGTTTTTGCTTGAGGACCAAATGACGTGGATTAATTAATTTTACACGGCTTTATCTCATTGTTCATTGCTGTCAGATAATGTTCGTTCGGTTTGTGAGACCCTGATGAGAAGTGACGGCGACTTGTAAGAAAAAATCATGAACGACTCTTTTACGGTTATCAACTTCAAACACGAAATGTACGTACATGCTCAATATTGACATAACATGTATGAAATATATTTCAACCGAAAAATGGTCGAGGAACAGAAATTGAAGATATATGAAAGCACTAATCGAGTTCCATAGGTTATTTAATTGTATTGTAATAATTATAATAAAACAGCTAATAAAAACACTTTAACTACTATCATTTAATTTTACCTTAGTCTCTATAGTTTCCACTCTAGCACAAATTCAGACCAGCAATTCTGTTGTTCCATACAGAAATTCCATTTTGCAGTCCATAACGCAGCAGTTCCTACAATTTAAATAAAATGTATTAATTGAAATTGTATCTAATATATTTCAAACAAAACTTTGATATGACTTTGACATGTGCTTGATATGTCTTAATAATCTTAAACAAAATTATTTGCCAAAGAATTTATGAGATTTAAACACCATCAACATAAAAATAACTCAAAAAATCCGAAGCAATTTATTTTTTATTTATATTTTAACGATGTTAACCGAGCATATTAAAAATTAAACCATAATATAGATTTTTTCAACCCAAAATTTTTGCATTTTAAGAACTTAATGAAAAGAAGATTCGCTGAGGGGTTAATATACATAAACAAACGCTTTGGCCCTGAACGAAACAAATACGCGGTTCCTGCCAAAATAGCGTGCCAAAATTTCTTAAAAAATGATAAGATCCCATCGCATTTTAAATTTCCCGTAAAATTTGAACACATGCTAAAAACTGCTTCAAGAAAATATGTGACATTTCTAACTTAAACTCCGTTAAGTTATCATGTTAATTTGTGTGTTTTACCATCTGTGATGTTAAAAAAAACATATTTTATCAATGTGCACATACGCATACCATGGATTAATAATGTTTTCATATGTTATATTTGGATACAAAATTGTAGGTGTTTTATTGTTATTATTATTATTATTGTTTTTCTATGAAATTTCTTACATATTATTTATTTAGTTTTCATTTTTATATTTAAATTGATTGCCACTGAATAAAGGCTAAGATGCTAGCCGAAACGTATAAATTTTAAATAAATATAACGTTAAAAACTCTCATACTATTTTTATTGATGTAACGCCTGACTTTTTAACTCAAATTAAACATATTATATCACCATCAAATTCAAGACTATTCAAAAAACTATATATACATATAGGAATACTTCTAGTAATTTAATAGTGATTTGATTTCATGTCGCTTAATTTTGATCTGTATAGTTTTTTAGGTTTAAAGTTTGCAAAAATAATGGACTATTAAAAATAACATTTTAGAAAATTCGGGGCAATCTAGAATAAAACGCCTGAATTCTAAACAAATACTTCTTCCAGCATATCCTGAACTTAAATTGTAAATTCCTGACTGCCCACCCTTAAATTGTAAATTCCTGGCCATCCTACTTTAGTGATGTGGAATAAGTAAAAATATATATAATAAGGACTTGTAATTATATTTTTAATTAAGTAATATGCGTATTCATAACCGTTTCATCTCGAGAATATTTTCAACCAATTGTTTTATATAATATACGATCTAATAATGAAGCTCCAATTATGTTCTTTTTATTTAAAACAAGATCTTAATTGTCGTCAATAGCATAAAAAAGCTTTGTGCAGGTTTTGTTGCCAAGTAAGGGTGATTATACAAACATTGCAAACATTGGAAAATAATTAATGATATTGTCCTCGCCGCTGCAGGGAACAAAACAGACAGAAATTCATTCTTGACAAATTCCATAAACAAAATAAAAATGAATGAATTCAAAGACTGCTCATAATATAATAAGGAATATTATGCTTGAAGAGACAGTAGTGAAAAAACCGTCGAAACGTTGTTTATTGCGAGAAATAATGATGTAGCTTAGAGCAAGAATGGTGTTGAATTTAGCAAGTTAGCAGTTTGGCGAAGAGAAATAAATCATAAAAATACTCACACGCTTCTGGAGAATTATAAAAATCGCCGAGAAGGAATTAACATATGTTGATGCATATAACAAAACGCTACTGCATGGCATTACAAAATCCATTTGCCTTCTGGCAATATATATATATATATATATATATATATATATATATTTATATATATATATATATATTTACATATACACATATTCATTAATAGCACAAGCGTTTATGCAAGTAAAGATGAGATTCCTTATAATTTTTTTGACACCTCATTAAATATTTAGTATGCTAAACGTTTAAGTGCAAATTTGCAGTCTCTATACCTGTCATTTAGTTAATTATAGCATTATTTCGTATCCCCAAATATTTAAAATTATTACCGTTTATCGATAAATGGTTTTTAATATAATGTTGCACTTTGCTGCGTGTGATGCGAAGCGATATTTAATGATCATGGACTTTTGGGACAGTTGGATTATACTCCAGAAATAAATATTACACAAAAAATGTTTATAAAATTTAAATAATATCGATATATAATTGTAGAATAAAAGTGTATACAAAATATGAAATGTCTAGTATTGAGATATTGATTATTAAGATTGTACACAAACTTTGTGAAGAGCGTTTATATAATGTCTATAATTACTTTTATTTCTTTGTTCAAAACACATATTCGATACCCACCTCAGACTACCTGATATCAAACAGTAGTATGATTGTTTTACTTGAGAATATAGATGAAAATATGGTTGGAAATAAGTGGAAATAACCATTTTCCGGAATTGCTGCATCAAATTAAAAATCATCAGTACAAATTAGAGCAGTTTTAATAATAGAGTATATCAGATAATGGTAAATTTACTATCGTTTTTCTACTAAAAACCTACGTAGTCGTACTTGAGAAATATCATCATAGCAGGTCATAGGACTTTTAAGTCCTAATTGATGTTTAAAAAAATCATTTCATTTACGTCTTAATGTTTGAATAATTTTATTTATGTATTTACTAATTTGTTTATTAACTGCTACATTTTGCACTTTATTGCAAAAGACATATTCCAATATTCTGTAATATATTCTAAGAATACAGAGTTTTTTTTTCTTTGTAATACTAAAACCAAATTTAAACATAATTTAGTATATTAATGAAAGATAAACCATTGGGTTTTCCTTTTGAAATCCAATGTTATTTACCAAATTAATTACTCAATGTCTTTCTATATAGACACAGACAGATTGTAATTTATATGAAAATTAAATAAAGAAAATATAAGAAGATGATTATCTTTTCTTAAAAGTTTTTTTGTGATATTTTTTTACCATTAATTATGTCAATTCTTATGTAAATATACTTCTTGCTTCATTTAAAAAACATATTTTGTGAAAATCATGTTTTGTTATGCAATTTAAAAAAATATTTGGCAATTGCAAAACTTTTCTATTACGTTTCAAATATTATTCAAGTAAGAATTATGAAATAATCATAATATAATATAGTTTATAAATTTTAATATATATATATATATATATATATATATATTATATTTAAAACTTAAAATAAAACTTAACTTTCTTTTACAGTATCATTACGTATAATTAACATCAGGACAATAACTTTATTTAAACGCTTTCTGACAAAATGTAAACAAAATATTTATCTCTGGTCAAACAAATTACCACATTGGCATTTTGAAACAGACAGCTGTCTTGTTAAAATTAAAAATATAAAATAATAACATTTTATGTCAAAAACTTGATGCCATCAAGGCAGTCATAAAAAAGTGTACTTGCTGTACGATATAATTTCGAAATGAACTGCTTGATATTTGAGCGAGTTAATAATTTGCAGTCATAATAACAAATAAATCTGAAAACTTTATCTTAACATAATGTTGGTCATAACATTAATGATTTAATTCTAATAAATACAAAATCTTTATTATTTTGATCGTATTGTAGAGTCAATGGTGAATGTTATTCTAATTAGAACGAACTTGGAATTCTAATTAGATTATCCAATATAGACTAATTGTAAGTGTCCTACGAATTTTTGTATAAAACAAAAAAGTGTATTTAAAATATTGATTTCTAATAAAATTATTTTTGATTTAATAAATATTGAATTTTAATTAAATCCGCCTAATTAGTGAAACAAAATTAAACTAAAACATTAATAGAAGCATTTTATTAATGTATAATTGTGAAATTAAATTTAATAAAAATTTATGGAAAAGCTCTCCAAATGTCATGCAATTTTGAAAAACACAGGTCATGTGGAATTAACTATTATCTTATAAAGTTTGTACACTATTTAATGATTTATTTCATTCTTGATTGATTTTATACATTGATTATCTTATATATAAAAATGGATCGCAAAATGTGTTGGTAAGCGCATAACTCAACAACGCCTGGACCAATTTGGCCAATTCTTTTTTTAAAATGTTCGTTGAAGTCCAAGGATGGTTGTTACGGCGAAAAAAAACGAATAATTGCCAGGAAAACCCTAAAAACAGCCTATTCTTAACCCTATTCTTTAATCGAGTAGGCAACGCAATTTGTTGATCTATGATGCAAACAATGATCTATGTCATGACATTTTGTGTAGTTTTTGATAATCTAATTTTGAATATATTTATATAAACATAGAAATATCTTTCTATTAATCAAGCTATATTGGCAGCCAAAAAATTCAAGAACAAATTAGAGGCGAATCAGTTGATTCGGCAACTAACCAAGACGATCCACCGGAGTTTTTAAACTCGCTGGATTTGCTAGGATTGTCACCTCACAATCTTCAATTAAAGGTTGAATCGGCAATTATAATGTTGCGAAATATCGACCAACTATATTCAAAGGATAGTATAAAGCAGAAGATGTTCTCGCACCATGCATCCCAATGCGTTTCCAGTGCGTTTATGGTATCATTAAGTGTTTGTGGTATTAATTTAGAAAACCCATGTTTTCACATGGAAAATTGTATGTTGTTTGTTCCCATATTGGAAAACCATCAGATTTGTTTGTCTATGCGCCAGGTAATCAAACAAAAAACATCGTTTATCACAAAGCACTACAATGAAAATTGAACTGCTTTTAAATTATGATTTACATTATTAAAATTAATTACTTTTAAATGATTATAATGTTTTATTTAATTATTCTTAATTCACAGCGAATTATTGCCAGGGCGACGGTTCTGTTCAGGATAATTTTTTGCAAAGAATAGAAAAAAGGTAGGCACAAAACACCGCCACATTTCAATTTTTTTTGACAGGACGAAGTCTGTCGGGCCGGCTAGTTCAATATAATCTTATTTATATTTATTGTGACTTTGTATTTTGTTTGTATAATA